TGAACGCTTCACGTGCATCAGTCGTGGCTCGTTAGGCGGCTGTGCACGGAGAAGCTTCTAGTCTCCAACAGCTTGGATGCCTGTGACCCAGAATCACTTTGAAAAGAGTGAAATGAGGCTTCAGGTTTGAGAAGCTGAAACTGAGTTGGAGACACAAGCTTCCTGAATGTCAGGTGCAGTGTTTTTATTTTGCATGACAGACGGATGTCTGAGCTCCAGCCAGATGTTGAGAAGACGATCAACTTTCTTTCCCTTTACTTTCTTGTGGCCAAAGTGTGACAGACGGCCTTCCAGCCGCTTTGTTCAACATTTAGGAAGCAGTTTCTGTGCAGCAGCATCAGCAGCATCAGCCGGCGTGAACATGTTCCCGGCTCAGAGTCATTAGTTGTGGTCAGATCAGGGGGTTTCATGAGCTGTTTGTTTGTCTTCATGACGCTGGAAAAGCAGCGAACGTTCTCTTTCTGTCTTTCCAGCTGTGTGTACCGTTTGTGTGTCTGTTTCTCTGCTGTGTGAATGTGGCCTGTGTGTGTGTGTTGTTGTATTCCTGTGTGTGTGTGTGTGTGTGTGTGTGTGCGTGCATGCGTGTGTGTGTGTGTGTGTGTGTGTGTGTTGATGGCAGGGCAGTGTCTATACGTGTCTAATCATCGGTCTTTGATGAACGGGGGAATTCCAGTCTCGCCAGTCTAATCCCCGGGTTCGTGTCTTCCGCTCGCCTCCCCCTCCTCCTCCTCCTCCTCCTCCTCCCTTCCTCCTCACCCGTCCTCACCTGGATCTCCCCTCCGTCACTTGGTGCACACCTTCTCCACACACTTTGTTTTTGTGCCTGGACTTGTGGAAACGTTTCGTCCTGCTCACATCTCCAGCAGGTCTTCGTTGAGCGCTGGGGCGTGTTTGGTTCGATGCCTTTTGAACGTCAGCTCTACGTCACACGTCTGGCCGGTCTACCTGGTTGTCGGTCTACCTGGTTGTCGGTCTGTCCGGCTGCATCAGAGACGTTTGGGTTTGCACCTCTTGAAACCTGAGCTTCCAGATTGATCTGTTTTTGTCTGGTGATTGCAGGTTTTGGAAAAATACTTTTGTTGTAGAAAATCAACAACTTTTTAATACTGTTGTGTTTTTTTTTCTCACCTTGTTTTTGCAGCTTTCAGTTCACTCGTTATGTTTGGTGGCAACTTAAGACTATAAAACTACACCTACATGAGACAGATTTCGGACACTGTGCTAAGTTACTTCCTCGTTTCTATTCTTAATTTAATTAGATTCTAATAAACAGCTACAACAAATCCATACAATCATATAAATCACATGAATATGTTTGTATCATACGTGTAATTTCCTGCAAAAGATTAATTTAATCTGCATTGAAGTGGCGTCCACACTCCTCTGAGAACAACGTCTCTGCCGATGTATATTTTTCTGGTGTTTTTTTAAAGCAAAGAATCTCTAATAAATCATGTCCGGTTCATCCTGTGAAGGCTGCAGATGCCTTCATGCTTTAGAAAGAGAAACCTCAGCTGTGAACCAGCACAGAGCAGCTTCTTCACCTTCTGGAGCAGCGTCACCTCCTCCACCTGCTGGATGGAGAAAGTGGGACGGAGGTGAGCAGAGAGAGAGCGAGTTAGAGAGTAGAGCAAATATCTGCGGCTCACTGACCTTTCTAAGTGGATTACATGCCCCGCCGGGGCTGTTGGGGGGGAGGAGGGGGGAGAAAACGGCACTGGGGGGGAGAGAGGTGATTTTAACTGCAGATTTTTAAATCAAACTCATCTCAGAATTTAATTTTCTCTCTGAAACAAACAGCTGAGGCTGCAGCAGATAGCGGTTGATATGATGGATGTGTGACAGCAGACGGGACTCAGAGGTGGCGTCTGAGAAAGTCTTCTGACCTCCGGCTTTGTTTCCGTCGCTCTGCCACAGACCTGATACCAGGATGACGACACGCCAACTAAACCTGGTTTACGTCTGACGGGCGTCTCTCTGATCAGGGCGCTCTGTGTGAAAAGTGATTTGTTGCTCGTCTATGATGGACGTTCTGCTGAAACACGAAGCTGAAGTTTATTCATTCGTTTAGTTAAAACCCCTGAAAACTCATTAAGGACGAAGCTCGTTTTCAATAAACTCTGCAGGATTAAAAATGAGTTTGACAACGCTAGAAAGTGTAGGAAACAACAACGAGACAAGTCAACTGAGTTTCTTTCTATCTGCTTTGCGTGAACACAGCCTGCAGTTCAACCCAGTTCACCTGATGTTTGTTTGTTTGTTTGTTTTTGTCAGATGATTGTTTATCGCAGCAGAGTCACAAACGGCTTCACGGTTTTTAGTGCAGAATTTTTCCAGTTAAATCAGCAGCAGATAAACGCTGGATTTGTCTGAGTCTTATTAAGTTTAGTTGAAGTTGTTCACTTCCTTGTTTACGCTGACGGATGCTTCTGATTGGCTGCTGCCACACGTGTTGGTAAACAACCAGCCTGCTGATGCTGCACCGGGCTGGAGCCGGTTTAAGTGGAAATCTCCAGGCGGCTGGCGAGCGTCCATGAATGTTTGAGAGCTGGTTGAGGGCGAGCGAGCTCTGTCATGCTTTTGTGGACAAAGAGGGATGAGTGCAGAGATGACAGGACAGCAGATGGATGCAGACAAAGAGAAAGAAGAGATGGAGGTGAAGGGAGCTGCAGGCCTGGGCGTGGGAGAGCAGACGGCATTGAGCTGAAGCAGACCAGACGCTAATGTGGAGATCCAAGGCTTGTAAAAACACACGCTGATGTATTCAGGCATGTGTGTGTCTGCTGCTCGGCCTCCTCCAGTCCAGGTGACGGTTTGTGCGACAGACTGCGGCCCGTTAAAATCCAACCAAACCCTCCGAGCAGCCTGCAGATGTGCCTTCGACAGTCTGTCAGTGTGCCGTTAACACCTGGTTTCTGACGCTCTCTGTCTGCATACAAACAGCAGCAACACGGGCTCTTCAGAGTTTTCCTGAACAGTTTGACGAACACAAATCACACAAAACACGAGGACGCATCCGAGTGAACGGCAGCTTAGAAAAGTCACGAACATGACATCTTAACGTCATTTAACATCAGAAGGCCAAAAAGCAACGAGTCCTTCTGCTTCAGTTAAAAGCTTGAGTGACTCAAACTGAGCTGATTTACAGGACGAGCAGTTTGAGTCCACTTTCCTGCAGCTATAATGTTCTATCTGCATGTTTTACTGCATTTCGAACCCCAAGTATAGCCCGTGTGTGCTCGGGTTAATTTAGTTTTCTGTGCACGTGGCTGCAGGAATCCGATCCGCTGCCCTTTGAGGTGCTGAAACACGGATACAGTCACTGCAGCTTCATACAAGCAGAGAGAAGTGTCGGCATGCGGGAGAGCAAACAGCAAACACTGGAACAACGAGCCAGCAGATCCACACCGGAGCAGATGTGAACAGCTGTTTTCTGCCTGTAATGTCAGGACAGGATGAGGTGGAGCTAATCAGGGATTGTTCTCATGTTCAATTACACTGATTGATCAAAGTAGTGTGCCTGTCTGTTTACTGCCACACATCAGCATCACATCTAAAATAAAATGTAAAAATCTGGAAAATTACAGACAACTTCACTGATAAAGAAAATAAAGTTAGTTGCTTCAGGTTTAGCTTCATAGGGAGCCACCAAACACATAACTGTCTTATCTATTTCCTGCCACACATCTGGTATCTGGTTGTATTTTTCATATCTTTGCTTTCTCAACAATTCCTCTGATCCGATTGTGTTTTCTGGTTTCATCTCCTCCAATGAGAGGATCGTCTGCCTGAGTCCTGAGGTTCAGACTGTGGGTTGAACGAGACATTTTCTCAGTTTTCTGCCTTTCCCTGGATGTTCATGGACCGTTGGTGAGCCAGTAAAGCAGAAGATGCCTCTGCAGCCTCTCTGCGCCCATAAAGCAGCGAAGCCATGACGTCCTGGACCAGCAGCAGGTTCTGCAGACACACAAGAATGCTGATGGTCTGTCGTCTCTCGTGCACTCGCTGCCTCTCCGTCTTTCTCACAACCTGCCTGCCTGGCATGCGTGCAATCGATGCCCGTCTGGCATCCACAGAGTCAACAGGCCTGGGAAAAGTTAATCAGCAGCCTGGCACTCCCACTCCCCCGTCCGTCCATCCGTCCGTCCGTCCCTCCCTGCTCGGCTGCCCATTAACTTTCCTCCCCTGAGAAGCTAATCGGTCACTTCTGGTGAGACCGACCGAAGCGTTTGGGAAGATAAATGTGTTTTTGGTTTGATATTAAGCTGTTTGGTCCTGGCTGACCTTGCAGCCGTCTTCTCAGCATCAAACAAAGCTGCAGGAGAATCTGCTGACGTCGGCTCTGTGGGAAGAGACTGCAGCGCGATGACGGAGCGCCACCTGGTGGCTGCAAGCATGAGCTGGGCAGGAGTTCAATGAGAATAAAAGTGGTGATGAATGAAAGAATGAAAGTCTTTTTAATAGCTGCTCCTTTATGAACCTATCTGACATGTAGTATATTATATTTATTGTACTACGTCCAGAGCGAACGTGTTCTCACACAGTTGTTTTTAATTTATTTTGTCCTTATTCTACTTTCGGTGATGACTTTGAGCTCTTTTCTTGAGAGCTGCTGAACTTCCTTTCGCTGTTGTTCAACAGTGACAATAAAGATCTATTCTGTTCTAAAGTCAACCTGCTCTGGGTCGTGTTTGAAGTGTTTTCAAGCATTTCTGGCACATGTTTTATGGCACAGTTAGGGTGAAACACGACTCTGCAGCATCCTAACATAATAAACCACCGTACCTCTATCTGGTATAGTCGGTGCAATATTTGGTTCATCTATAATGTAACTGTCATTTCTTTGGCTCATCATCGGTTGTTTTAAATGTCTCGTGTGAATAACAGCGACCTGACCTGACTTATTTAATCGTGTCTGGTGGTTTTTGTCTGCAGCCGTCAGTATTTATGCTCCTGATGGATGAAACCTGCTCATGTCTGCTCTCTCGTTTCCTCACCAGGCTTGCCAGGGATGTGCAGGATCCAAATGTGACTGCAGCGGAGTGAAAGGAGCCAAGGTGGGTAAAGATACGTACGAATACGCAGCTTCTCACCACCACAGTGAAGCATCTCATTCAGTGTCTTCATGCCGAACAGTTGAATTTATGACTGTCTCTGCTCGGTTTGAGTTCAGTTACCTGTCAGACGGCTCACCTGGTGGAAGATTCATCATGGTGCAGCTCACTGGCGGCTTTTAGCAGTCGCTGTGTTTTATGTGAGATGTGACGAAGCCAGAACGGTGTTTCAGTTGCCTTAAAGTCTTGATTCTATGCAGACAATCCTGTGAACAATTCTGTATGTTGGTAGAAGTGCAGCACACAAAGCTGGTTACAGATCGATGAGCTTTACTCTTCTACTAATGACAATCAGCCTAGTTGGGTTTAAAAACAGTTGCTTCACTGACAAATATAAAGATACACAACCTAATAAGACATAAAAAGCAATCTGTAGCATAAATATGGACAAACTTCGACTCTTCTTTGTGCAACTTGAACGCTGAGACGACACACAGCTGCAGAATAAAGTGTGTAACTGTCCGTTTACTTCTGACTGGAGCTAAAGACGTGTCGTCCTTGTTGTCTCTGGCTGTATGCAGGGTGAGAGGGGTTTCCCAGGTCTCACCGGTCAGCCAGGAGTCCCAGGGTTCCCCGGACCAGAGGGCCCGATCGGAGGCAGAGGAGAGAAGGTGAGCCGGATGAGTCGCCCTGATTAGGCCTCCGGGTTCTAGCACCAAAAATAGAAATACTAAAGCTGCTCCGGTTATTAACATCGTCTGTTTCTGTGATGTTCTTCCTCTCAGGGAAGTGATGGACCTCAAGGACCAACGGGTCCAAAAGGAATCAGAGTAAGTTTAATGCTTTTTTTTTTTTTGTATTTTCTCCTGCAAACAGCGTTTACGCCTCAAACTCTGAGGCTCTGAGAGACTCAGACAAACATTATACATGATTTCATTGGTTGTTTTTATTTAAACTGTGTGACAGCTGCACGTTAACGTCACTTGTTTTTTGTGTTTTGTTCCCATTTGACTGAAAAGGATTAATTTTCCAGTTATCCCAGTAATCAGTGACTGTAGGCTGTAATACTCCAGTGTGGCCAGCAGGTGTCCCTGTTTCACCTCAGTTCAAACAGTCTGTGGTGCAGAAACTTTAAATCACTCATGTTCATCTCCTCCTTTCTGACAGGGGCCTCCTGGATTGCCAGGATTTCCAGGAACACCAGGACTTCCGGTGAGTTTTCAAAGATCTGAAATCCTCCTGAAATAATTTTTGCCAAAATCCGGCGACACGCGTGATTTAAATCCGTCTTTGCTTCGTGTTTGTCAGGGTCTGCCGGGCCAGGACGGACCTCCAGGCCCCAGAGGAGTGCCGGGCTGCAACGGAACCAAGGTGCCCGATGGACGGCCTTGCAGAAGATAAAACTGGGCTTTTTAAACTTAGATGAAACTGATTTAAAGCTTGCCGTCCTGTGATCCCTCCAGCCCGACGTCCAGCACTTTACATCCAGACTCACATCCCTACTTCTCCTTCCTTCATTTTTTCATTAGCATACATCTAACCATAAGGTCCAGCCTGCGTCCGGCTGCGTCCTGTTTGAATCACTCACAAACTCGGTGCATAAATGTTTAACATGTACGCAACACAGTCATTGCAGATGTTAGCAGCTCCGCATCATAACAAGTGATGAAGATCTGGAGGGAATAGACTGTTCTGATAAAACAGAGCAGTACATTAGACTGAGAACAGCCTCACAGGGTAACAATGGACCAGCTTGGATCAGTTTCATGCACATAAACGTTAAATATCGAGTTATTTCTGTCATATCTGTGTTATTCTCACATGAGTCAAGCTTCCAGTGAAACTCAGTCCACTTCTCCTGGAGCTCGGCCTGAAGCTTCATGCGTTTAAACCCGTTTCTTGTCCGTGTCCAGGGCGACAGAGGTTTCCCAGGAGGCTCAGGGATCCCCGGAGCTCAGGGCCTCCCGGTGAGTCCCACAGGAAGCAGCCTTCTGCCACAATCATCCGGCTCCGCTCTGGTTCTGTAGCTTTAAACTCTCCTGTCTTTCTGCTCCACAGGGTCCACCTGGTGTGCCGGGACCGAAGGTGAGCGTCCAGTGTGTTTAAAGCAGTGTGTTGGTTTAGTGAATCAGCTGTTGTCTCTGATCTTCTGGTGAATTGGTTTTATTTAGTTCCTTATTAAATTAAATAAAGCTTCAGTGTCGTCAGCTTCCATCTTCAGCAGCTGAGCTGGAGTTTATAATTTAGTTTTTACTTCCCATCTGGTATTTATTTTTGTTCACTTTTGAATGAAATATGTAGAATAAAGTAATTTAGATGAACTATTATGATTTTAGGCTGTAGTTTGGTTAATTTTGCTGCAGGATGGCTCATCCCAGAGGATTTTTCATGCACCAGTTGAACGTTTTTTACAGTTTCAGGCTCTCATAAAGGGGAATTTTGGCTATTTTTAAAGAATAACCTGCTGCCTCTAGCACTCCAGCAGGTTTGTAGGGTTCAGAGGTTTGATATTCTGTCGTTCTCTGGTGGAAACTCAACACCAGCTTGTCTAGATTTGATTCTGATAGACAGGTCATTCCATGTAAACTCTACCAAACCTTTAAAAAGTCCCCGCTTCACCTCCTCAGAATCAGCTGACTCTTCATCCACAGCAGGGCCTGTAACTCTGGAGATAGCTTCATAAAGATAGGACGTAGATCAGGTTCATCAGGAAAGAACAGAGCAGCTACATGATCACACACCAGAAGCAAAAACATCCAGGAAGTATGTTTTCAATCATTGTTTGACTGTGAAGCTCGAATTCTACCAACAATGATTCACTAAATGCCTTTTAGGACTCTTTATAGTTGAATTATAACAAACTGCATCGTGGTGTGTTCATGAATGTGTTAGCATTATGTTAAATCAGAGAAAAGCTTTGCTAGTTGTTTGCTGTGGCTTTTATTATTGTGCTTTTTTGATCATTTTGTTTTTTACTAAATTAGTAAAACAGGATTTTTTCCCCCAACTGTCCTCTGGAGTTTTGTTTTGTTTCCTTTGAGTTGAAGTCAGTCGGAAACGTTGCAGGAACGTTTTTTCTTCGTGCACGTTGTAAAGAAGCTCCTCTGGTTGTGTTTGTGTCGTCTCCAGGGAGACCCAGGTGACGTGATTTCCACCAATCGATTCGGAGAGAAAGGAGCGTTGGGATTACCCGGATTACCAGGAGCTCCTGTGAGTCCAACGCTCTCCTTTTCTGGTCTTTTTTAACCTTTTCAGAACTAGCAGCGTGCGGCTAAAGATTATTTAGTCGTCGCTTTGGACTCTGGCGGAGACGAAACACACCAGATCGATCAGGCCGAAGTGATTTAAAGAGTATTTCACCTCATTTCAGCCCCAATTGGAGCGCTATGTGTGGGATTGTGATGAATAAAATGTGTGTTTTTTTCATTTATATGCTGAAATAATACACATGCACAGAACCCAGAGCTGTGCTTCTGCCTATTAATTGTAATTATTGGAGTAAATCTTTTTTTAAAAAGTCAGTTTACACAATAATTCTCAAGATCTGACAAATCCCCACAGTGTCAGCAGACAGGTCTCTGCTGCGACATCTGTTTAAATCTCGATGATGTTCATGATCTTTGCCAAACGTTTCACCGTTTTGTGCTGAGCACGAAAGCTGGTGACCAAGCTGCACGGCAACATGTGGAATACTGAAACCTTCATAGTGATGCTCATAAATAGACACCTAATTAAGGTAAGAAACCCTCCTGATCAGATGTTTCCTTGTGTCTCAGGGCATTCCTGGAACTCCAGGTTCACCAGGCGCACTCGGCCCTCCAGGACCCAGAGGCTTCGAGGTAACGGGCCGTGATGTCACCGTCTGTCTACCACTATTTCCAGCGGCATTAGTTTGGAGTTAAACTCGACTTGTGGTGTTTTTCAGGGTCGTCCAGGTCCTCCAGGCGCTCCGGGACCAAAGGTGAGATCTTCTGATTCAAACAAAGACGACATGTTTGTACATCTTCTTGTCCTGCTGACTGATAACTGTCTGCCACCTCTCTGCTTCTCCTCAACAGGGAAACATGGGTCTGAACTTCCAGGGACCAAAGGGAGAGAAGGTATTGTACCAGTTTGAAATGATGCGTCTCCTGCTGGTGATCAGTGGTGTCTGACTCTGTGTGTGGTCTCAGGGCGAACCCGGCTTGCCAGGACCTCCTGGACCTCCCGGTCAGGTCGGGGAACAGAAGAGGCCGCCGGAGACGGAGATCCAGAGAGGAGACAAGGTGGAGTTGATTCACCGACCCGAACCTGCAGAAACACAAACAGACTTCAACCAAACTTCAAGTAGCCACGTAGCTTTGATTTTTTAAATCTAGGACCATGACAGTATTTTTCTTACCTCGTGTCAGCTCGTGTGATTCATCATTCATCCCCTGTGATGCTTCATTTATCTTCCAGTACGTTCTTATCGCCAACAAACAGGAAGTGAGGTCTGACGACAACAGTCATGATTCTCATCAAAGTTCAGACCGAATAAGGACAAAATCTGTTAAATGTTTTATTAAAAAGCCTGATCTGTGCAGCACCTCATAGTGATCTGTATAAAACATATCGTACATATAAATAATGCTCAGAGAAGGAAATCACATCTGATCTGACAGAATGCAGGAATTTTAAATATATGGCACCAAACAAACTAATCGGACGCTTTACAAGCAATTCAAATATCACAGGATGTAAAAAAAAAAATAGATGTAGAGACGAATAACAAACCAAAATAACTGAATAAAACAAAAAAATAATGTGTAGTTAAGATTGTAAAAGACAAATACAAAACAATCAGTACAAGTAGTAGAAATAAACGTCATGTTCAGGTAAAATAAAATAACTTGACTTTGTCTTTGAAGATGGAGATTTGATGCTCGTTGGTTCGTTTGTTTGCCTCTAATCATGAATTATGAGTCATATTTCTGACTAGCAGTCGTCTGCATCTCTGAATGGAGCCTTTTTTTAAAAAAATAATAAACATGCATGTGAGTCTATTTAAACTTCAGGTGCTCGACAGGTAAACATGGATTTGACCAGCAGAGGTCAGCGTTGAGCCGTTTGCTCCAAACAGGAACTCTGCAGCGAAGAGTTGGACAAAAGAAAGAGTCGCACAGCTGGACGGTCACATTTAACACAGAGCGATTATTAAAGAGTCTGTTCAATCCTCTGATGCTTCATGATCACTAAAAGCTTGGATTTGTTTTCATTTTGAGGCTTTAAACAAAACATTTTAGTGAATGACCAGACCCGTAGCCCTGAACAGACTCACTGTAGGACTCTTTAAACCAGAACGTCTGTGTTTCTTCTGCAGGGCGAACCAGGATTTCCAGGACCTCCAGGTGATCCAGGTTATCCAGGACCTCCTGTGAGTATCCGCCCCGCCGCTGGAAGAACCTGTGCAGTAAACGACTTCTGTTAAAGGATTCAAATGTGGGTTTTGTTGTCGCTGCAGGGTCCCTCTGGTGGACAGAAAGGAGAGAAGGGAGAACCAGGAGAGGCGGGCAAGAGAGTACGTACCGCCGGGTGAACTTTCTGAAACGAGCTGACTTGAATGCGTCATTTTTAGGATCGACGGCTGCTTTTACCGTGTAGACGTACAAGCAGCTGACTTATTAGAAAAAGCACTAAGATGCAGCCAGAAGGAAGCCATGAAGCAGGTGTTTTAACCTGCACTCGGGAAGGTTTCTGCACACATTTGCAGCCTTGAGTCCATCTGAAGTAAACCGAGGCCTTAACAGTGAGTCTTAACCTTCAAACAGCGCTTTGAAGAAGAACGTACGGGTCAAAGTATTCACATTTTCCCCAAATAGCTGCACCATCGGCCCTTACAGCATTCATAGCACAAACATGCATTTTTAGCTGCTATTCTTGGAGAAATTAAGATAAATTTCTGTCTCCAATCATCTTTTTCTTCTTCTTCAGGGCAAACCAGGCAAAGACGGCGATCCAGGTCCTCCAGGGTTCCCCGTAGGTTCTCCCAGAAACGTGACCTTTTTCTAAAAAAAACCCCTCATGTTCTGTGTTTTAACTTTGCTTCATTTCTTTGTCAGGGAGTCAAAGGAGAGTCGGGCCTCCCAGGTCCTCCAGGCAGAGACGGAGAGAGAGTAGGTTCAGCAGAACATCTCATCTTCTCTAAAAGTCGTGTCTCACAGTGAATCATGTGATGTTTAAGTGACGCTCCGTCGTTTCTCGTCGTAGGGATTCAAAGGTGACCGTGGATTCCCAGGTCCTCCAGGAGTGGTGCGTATTCTGCTTTTCCACGACGACTGTGGCTCAACCAGCAAAAACTGCACCTGATGATAAGAATTAGTTTGTTTTTTTACCCCCAATCTGCTCAGAATCATTTCATATTAAGTAGAGTTCTGATCCGATTTCATAGTTAAAATATGTGTTCTCACTTCAAGTACATATTGGTTAATAAAATCAATGCATCTGCTGTACATCAAGAGGAATATTATCTCTCTACATTAAAGCTCTTCCTTAGTGATGTTTGTATTTTACAAAATAAAAAAGCAAACGAGCAAAAATAAGCCGATCGTATCGTAGGTGCATTTAGTGCAGCAGCATAGCGGTAAAACTAGAGCACTGAAACAATCACAATTCAGCTTCAACGTGATGTCAGGGATTCATTTTCACTGTCGCACAAAGTGAAAATCAGCAGTCGACCCGTTGGACATGTTCCCAGCCTGCAGACGTTTTAGCTGCTTCCTGCCACAAACTGAGCTTCAGCTGTGACAGAGGACCAGGACGAGCTCAGTGCTCAATAAAGCCAGTTAAAATCAGTTTTAAAAAGTGCTTGGATCGGACAAACCTATTTTGAAAAAGATCATTTTAAAGATGGAGACAGCTGCCTCTGTGTTAGTGACGCCTCGGTGCAGTTCCTCCGTCTGGCCACCAGGTGGTGACATTTCTCTCCTTTTACTCCTTAATCGTTAAATTAGTTTATTTGCTCCTTAAGTTTGATAATTAAAAGCATATTTTGAACCTTTTGACCACTGCTAACATCTCCTATGTTAAATAATATAATGTATTAATCATTTATGACATTTCTGTCATCAAAGCTTATTCATATTTAATTTGTTTGATTTAAATGCACTAAATGATTTCTGTAGTCTGGACTAGTTTAGTGAGCGTCCCCCTGTCCTTTGGTTTGTTTGTTTCCTTCAACCCGTCAGGTGATCGGTGGGTCAACGGGCGGTCGGGTCGGAGCTAAAGGTGAGCCTGGGTACCCCGGATCACCTGGACTCAAAGGAGACCGAGGACCTCCAGGTAAACTCAAACTCACAGACACCAAACAACGAGCACAGACTTGTTTACATGACTTGCAAATTATGTTATTACTTACAGCAAACACTTGGGTATCTGAGCAAACAATGAAAGTTTGTAGGCTAAGTTTGAAAGGCTAGTAATCGAACTACGGCCCGTCTTATTTCAGCACGTGGAGAAACACTCCATTTGTCTGTCAGTTTTGTTTTACCTTTGTTTAGCCTGATGAGTCAGCAAAATACAAATACATAAAAATGTGAAGATGTTTGAATAATTTATCAAATTATAAATCAAATATCCAGCAAATGTTAAATAAATCCAAATCACCTCAGAGTAAAAAAAAAACAAAGTCCAAACATGTTTTCAGAAACTGTACAGAACATGTTTCACAATTTTGAGAGTTAATTTGATCAAATAAGAAGCAGCTGGAGGCCTAACTCAGGAAATCATTTCACTCTGCTGCCTCCTTCAGGTTTGACTGGACCTCCAGGAGCTCCAGGAATTCCATCCATCGGCGGCGGCGGCGGGCCCGGATCTCCAGGTTTCCCCGGAGAGAGAGGTCAGAAGGGAGAACTGGGCCCTCCAGGTATCTCTCTGCCAGGACCCCCGGGACGCCCAGGGTCTCCTGGAGCGCAGGGACCCCCAGGGCGCCCCGGACCTCCAGGCATCTCCAGCGGAGGACAGACCTGCATCCCAGGAGAGCCTGGAAGTCCTGGGCTGACGGGAGAACGAGGTTACCCCGGAGAGACGGGCCAGAAAGGTCAGACACAAGATACACTGTAATGGAGCAGAGCTCGGAGGTGTGGCAGAAAAACTGATGTTCGTGATGTGATGCTGTTTCAGGTGAGAAGGGCGACACCTGTGTGAACTGCTTTGGAGGCACCAGCTCCCTCCCCGGACCTCAAGGACCTCCAGGACAGCCTGGATTCCCCGGTAATGCCCCCAAACTTTATCTTCACTCTGTCAAAGACTCAAAGATCCACAGCAGCGGATTGTTGACCCACTTCACTGCACACAGCTGTTGGATTATCTCAGTGACTTCAAATGTGCAAACAGAACTTCACAGAAGCATAAAACCAACCAGTGTTTCCATCAGCTGGGTTTTTGTGCAGTTAGAGAATGACTCATGTCTACTAGATGGTCAGCTGGTATCTTCTGGAAGTAAAACGGTCCTTCCATTGTTTAGAACTGGTTCTGAACAACCACCATCACACATGCTGATATGAGCCTGAAACGTTTACCCAGAATGCACTTGGTAAAGTTTCCTCTGGTGAATGATCAGAACCAGAACCACATCCAGGGTACCAGTGATTGTTTCTATGACTCTATGTCATAAATGCAGTCTGACTGTTGACACTGTGAGACATCCCATAATACTGATGCTACCAGCTGCTGACAGAGGACATGACTTGGCTCTTGTCACAGACACCGTGAAGTAAACGTGTTGCAGTCTGAGGACGGATGTGTTTAAAGTTCTTCTTGTGTTTCCTCCATCAGGAGGTCCTGGTGGCCCCGGAGCCAAAGGAGACCGAGGCTTCCCAGGGACCCCCGGTGGTATCGGTGCTCCTGTGAGTGAACTCCTCACTTAAAACCCTGAGACAGAAAAGATTTGGCCTCACCTGAAAACAGCTGTTTGCACCTCTACAGATGTTGTGCGAGCTTTAGCTAAAGCTCCTGATGCACAGATGGGATGTAGTTCTGTCGTTTCTGACCACTTTCAGACCAAAGACAGTTCTCATGTTTTCTCTCCTTTTCTCCTTCCAGGGTTCTCCTGGTCCTCAGGGTTCTCCAGGTTACCCCGGAGAGAAGGGAGACCCGGGTGATGCCATCACGGTCAACGGTGGGAGGGGGGACAAGGGTGACACCGGATTCCCTGGACCCCCCGGTCTGCCCGGTCTGGACGGTCGCCCCGGTCGGGACGGGCAGCCTGGACCTCAGGGCGCTAAAGGAGCTTCTGTAGGTGGCAGAACATCGACCAACCATCGAGTCAGCCGCCATCAGTTCATCACTAATGTGTGTTTGTGCTGCACAGGGCTCTCTGCTGGTGAAAGGAGAGCGAGGACTCCCCGGTGAGCCCGGTGCTCCCGGTCTTCCAGGAGACAGGGGCCCCCCAGGTGGTCCCGGCTTTGGACCTCAAGGGCCCCCAGGAGAGAAAGGTATCCAGGGCGTCTCAGGAAGACCTGGAGGTCCCGGTGCACCTGGTAAGAAGATCACTTCACATTTAGTCAGTGTTTCTGACCAGGTATCTCAATATCTGTGAGAGGATGGCTGCTGGCACCTGGACAGTGTGCTTCTGACATGTTCATTGATCATTTTTAACAATGCAGGTTCACAACACGGTCATTTTAAGGATAAATTATATTGATTCAAGATTCAAGAGTTTAATTTGTCACATGCAATAAAAAGCAAAGTGACTGTTGGACAAGGCTGCGCAGCAACAACAAGACATGACATTTAAACAAACACATTCCTTGAAAATATGAAAAATCAAAACGTCACAAACAATGAAGAGATGGAGATGAAGGTGAATGTTTCGTATGATTTTAGCAGCAGCGTCCCTCCCAGCTCAGCTCCTCACTATTAGAAATAGTTTGGAAAAAGGACAAACACGTTGCTGCTAAATCCAAAATAAAAGCTGCAGTTAAACCACTCATGAGGTCATTAAAGGATCTTTTTTCTCTCATGTTGGTCTGAGCTGATCAGAACAACCGACAGGCTCGCTGAGATCCATTCTGGTTTGTTTCTTGATGAGTTTCTTCTGGATGTGTCGCAGTGCACCGAAACACTCGTAGATGGTTTTATTTTAAAACCAAAGAAGACCTTGTTGTTTCCAGCAGCTTGACATGAAGCAAACATCTTATCTTGTGACTGAAGCTATCCTTTGTCCTGTGCGTTCTCTCACCGTGCAGGAGCTAAAGGTGAACCGGGCCTGACGGTGGCAGAAAAAGGTTTACCAGGACCCAGAGGACTGGATGGAGAGCCCGGACTGCCCGGCTCACCAGGTACACAAGCACCGTTTTCACAGTGAAGTGTGTTTTTTCCAAGCAGGACGACTGCGATGACACAAATCTGCTGCTGTTCTCTGTGGTCAGGTTCCCCAGGTCAGCCTGGACAGCCTGGGTTCCCTGGTTTACCAGGAGCTAAAGGAGACCCCGGACTCCCAGGCATCGGACTCCCAGGACCCCCCGGAGCTAAAGGTACAGCACATCTTCTGACTTCACTGTCTCTCTGCATCTTCACATCTCCTCCTCTTGTCTCTTTGTTATCTTTTCACTCCACCCTCACCGTCTCTTCTTCTTCTGTCCTCCAGGAATCCCAGGTATCCCCGGACAGCCAGGATCTCCGGCAGGACCTGGAAGACCAGGAGTGGATGGACTCCCCGGTCAGCCTGGATTTCCTGGACCCAAGGTGGGCCGATGGACAGCTCAATGGATGAATTATGGGAAATTCAAGAAAGCTCTGAATTTGTTGGAAACTAGAATTCTAGTCTAAATTTCTAGGAAAATGTAATCACCTGCATATCATAGCTGGTGTGTCTTGTTAAAATAATCCTCTGGATAGTTTCAACCGTAGAAAGTTGATGAATACATCATTTAGTGTGAACACATTTCATGTAGGTGAAGCCGACGTAGAGAACCTGCCGAGCTGTAAATGAGCTGCAGCTGAATCCATCATCATATTTTCCCACTAATTAAAAAAGCAATTCTTGTGTAAACGGTTTTCACGCAGCTTCTTCTGTAACGCCGAATAGTTTTAGTTAAATACAGTCCATTATAATATCCGTGTGTGCGGCGCAGGGCGAACCCGGCTTCGGACTTCCTGGACCTCCTGGTTTACCGGGCGTCCCTGGATCTAAAGGTTTCCCCGGACCGAAGGGAGATCCTGGTTTCCCTGGAGGCCCTGGTGCACCAGGACGATCTGGATTTGATGGCGCTCCAGGAGCAAAAGGTATTCTGCAGAACCAACCAGTGCTGCTGTGAAGGATTCGCTCCACTGTCCTCTGAGCTGACCGTCACTCCTTCTCCTGTCTCCGCCCAGGTGACCCCGGTACACCTGGTATACCTGGAGCTCGTGGCCCACCTGGATCCTCCAGCATTGGATCTCTGGGACCCCCAGGGCCCCCTGGACCTGGAGGCCTGATGGGACCACCAGGTAGGGCACAGAACTTTGAAATGGGTTAATTTTCCTTCAAGACAACTTCAGACTGCAGATGTTTACTAGCTCAGAAAATGTGAGACGGTAACTATGGTTACAGACATTTTACTGATGTTGAGGGAAACTGTGACTCTGTTCTTTCATGTTGTTCTGTATTTTAGCATGTTTTTGAAATATCTGTGGCATGAAAACCCACTTTTGAGCTTGTAAAGGTGTCATTTAGATGTGAGGGTTTAAACTGCACACTTTCCACGTGACCACCGCCGTGCACCAGACCTACGGTTGCTCTACAAGCACACGCCACCGTTCTGGGTGTGTTGGTGATCAAGGTGTGCACAGACTGAATGAGGCCTCCATCGGTTCCCTCACTACTGGACGGCAACCGGACCTTGATCTGGGGATGTTTCCTCACGTCCTCGTCTTGTGTTTGCTTTCACTGGAGTGCACTTTTGTTTTTGAGCCGCCAACAGAAATGTGCCTTTCTTGGCTGCATCACTGTTTGCACAGCTTCGATGTCACAGCTCCACACGTCGGGCTTCCGCATCTTAATGTCGCCGCTTTCTTCCTCACGAGTTTCGGTTCACCGGTATTTGCAGCACCACCGTCTGTCAGCGCTTTAACCTCCCACCGCTCTTCTTTGAATGCACACAAAAACCGCACACTAACCCGAACCGACAAACTGCTGCAGAGCTCTGAGCAGCAGCTGGACCGTCGGCGACACCGAGCTCTGGTGCATATTCAGAGTGTTTGAAAACCGGCTTCATGTAGATGTTTTAATGCATTTAATGCATTATACTTTGTTCTCCTCATCTCATCCGCTCCGCCTTCTGCGCTTTGAAACACGCCTTACCTGCGACCCGCTGATGCCCAGGCGAGAAAGGTATTGTGACCCAATACTGGTGCCGGCTGAGTGCCATTAAATGGTGAAAGATATCACATGTGACACCGATATCTTTGTGCGACTGATTCATTTAGTATGCTTGCATTTTTATTTTGTACGACTGCTTTAAACACAACTTCCATGTGCTTGTAATGAGAAAACAGTCAGATTCTACATCTTTGGACTCATTACCATGGCAACAAGACAACATCCAAATCGCCTCAAATCATTATTGACCTCAAACACTCTCCCTCCAGTCAGTGGATAAAGTCTGGATGTGATGATTACAGGATTCCCTGGAGCGAATGGAGAGAAAGGAGACCCCGGTACACCAGGTCTAGACATCCCTGGTCTGCCCGGAGACAGAGGAAGTCCTGGTTTCCCAGGTTCCCCAGGACCAGTCGGATCCCCAGGACCCCCTGGAGGACCAGGACGGGATGGCGTTCCTGGACTGCCAGGTAGAGCGTCACTCTGGCATCATTAAACTACAGCTAGCAGTTGGTATCTTGTCTCTGATTGGGTACATCATTACCAGAGACAAGCTAAAGAAACGTCAAACATAATCCGAGTCTCTCTGCCCACGGTCAAAGATTAAAACATATATCACATCCCCGCAGTCTGTTCTGTCAAAATAAAAAGTGTTTTGTTTTTATTTATATGATGATGTGCCTGCATTTTAGTCGTCAGTGAAGTCAGATTAGATTTAGTTGAGAATATGAGAACAAAACCTCCACGTTTCAGAAACAACTCTGAAAACAGACGCTGCCAAGTTCTAAGTTGTTTATTGACTAACTAGAGAGTTGAATAAGCAGCTTTACTAGCTGCTGGTTAATTGAACAGCTAGCGTGGTGACCAGTTAACTGTCTGTGTATGTTGGTTTTGGTCGCTCCCATCAGTTTGGTGGATTTAGCCGTAGTTGTGTGACTGACTTGGCCTTTTTTAAATCTATTTTGTAATTAAATATTTTCTTCTCTGGTTTATTTCTTTCTATCTGGCTGCAGGTCAGAAAGGAGACATGGGTCCGATGGGACCTCCAGGACCCTCTGGAGGACCAGGAGGCCCAGGAGGGCCAGGCGGTCCCGGACTTAAAGGTATCCAAACACCTCACAGAGAACTCATGCACCCAGCCCTAAAAGACATGAATAATACAAAATACATCTAAAGTTATTCTTTCAGTAGAGGAAGTGGTATGTACACTGAATAAGATGAGAAAGAAAATCCTTGTGCCAGATGTTGCTCAGAAAAAACTATTAAATGAGATAAACGCATCATGAAACTAACATATTGCACCTGAGAGGTAAATAATGCACGTGTAATTAAAATATAACACGATGCTGAAAGTGATGCAAACGACTGAGAAGGTCACACTGCAGATGATATGATCATACAGATGTTGTTCAGATTTAAGGGGAGGAGTTCTGTAATTTAAATCTGCACTAACACACATTTTATTGTATATTTAACAACTGTAAACACTAGTTTTGATTTTCTAAGCCATGAGGAAGCATAGAAAGAGCGACCTGTGCCTTAAAGGAGTGAGTCATGATGTTTCATGTAATGAAGGACTTCTCTGATTCCCTCGTCCTGCTCCACAGGTGAACCTGGATTCCCAGGTAGAGATGGTGGACCAGGAGGTCCTGGTGGTAAAGGAGAGAGGGGAGACCCCGGTGTCCAGGGGCCCCCAGGAACCAGCCCGCCGTCAGTCCTCACAAAGGGAGCCAAAGGAGATCCTGGACTACCAGGTACAGCTGAAAACCTTTTCATGGCCTCTCCATTTTGATATCAGCTTCAGACTCTGTGCTGTTGTTTAACACATTTTATTGCTGTGTGTGCGTTCTACAGGTTCACCAGGTTTTCCAGGTCAGAAAGGCATCAGTGGTCTCCCCGGTGACCCCGGACTGCCCGGATCAGACGGACGCCCAGGAATCCCCGGACCACAAGGTTTGACTTCAACCCCCGATACATACAGCATAAATACACACAGACTGATGCAAAGAGATTTCTAACACACTGGTTCTGCTTTGTGCAGGTCCAAAGGGAGATCCTGGCATCCCAGGAGGTCCAGGGTCCCCTGGAGGTCCAGGACTAAAAGGTGGCATGGGAGAAATGGGATTCCCAGGTGGGTTTGCCTGCTTTTATCACGTCGTTGCATTCCAGCTGCTGTAGATGTCCTGATGTTCGAGGTCAGGATTAAAAAATGCTTTTCAAAATAAATTCTGGACATCTTTCTGCAATTGCACCACAGGACCATCTGGCCAGAAGGGTCTACCAGGCTCACCAGGTCGGCCAGGATCCCCAGGACAGCCAGGAGGTCCTGGTTTCCCTGGAGCCAAAGGTGAACCAGGTTCTGCTGGGGTTGGACCGCCTGGAGCACCCGGATTCAAGGTGCAGGACACAACCACGGAAACGAACTTCCCCTTGGAAAGTGGAAAGTTCACATTTTGGTTCACACTTGTGTTTCGTCTCTCGTAGGGTGAGCCAGGCCAGCCAGGCTTCCCAGGAAGTCCAGGACTGAAAGGAACCCCAGGATCACCGGGTCTCCCAGGTATACCAGGAGGACCAGGTTCCAAAGGCGACCCCGGCCTGCCAGGGTTCCAAGGTACGTCTGAAGTCAACCACAGCAGGTTTAGGAAGGACTCTCAGAAGTCAAAAAGTGATCCTGGCGGCCATATTGAGTCCAGCAGGACATAAACACACATCAGATGCCAGAAGAGTCGTGTTTCCAGACATGCAGACATGTTTGGTGCTAAACTTGCAGTAATCCTTTGCTCTCTTGTCAGGTTCTCCTGGTATCCCCGGTCCGAAGGGTCTCGATGGCGGGCCAGGTGCCCCAGGTCTCACAGGAGCCCCAGGTAGACCAGGGGAGCCCGGTCGACCAGGAGGCCCTGGATTGCCCGGAGAGAAGGGTCAGGCAGGTCGTGATGGGATCCCCGGACCAGCTGGAGTCAAAGGAGAGCCCGGTAAGTCTCGGCTCATCAGGGATCAGTGCTGCTCGATTCTTCTTTAAATGTATTTGGTTTTGTTAAATTCTGCTCGTTTCCACTGTAGGCCTTCCTGGTTACGGTGGTCCTGGTCCTAGTGGGCTTCCAGGGTTGCCAGGTAGGTTACCACCCACCAAACTGTGTGAACACACGTTACAGTGTCGTGTTTGTTGTGATTATTGTCTCTACTTTGCCTCTCACTACCTGTAAAGGTTCTAAGGGAGACGCAGGTCTTCCTGGTCCATCCGGCAGTCCTGGTTTCCCCGGATCTAAAGGAGACCCAGGCTTCCCCGGTGCCCCTGGTCCTCCAGGTTCCAGCGGCCCTCCTGGACCTTCGGGACAGGCTCTGCAGGGCCCGAAAGGACTCCAAGGACCCCCTGGACCACCTGGCAGAGCAGGTAGAGCACTTGATCGTCTTCTTCACCTCGTGTGCTTTAGGAGTTGCTGCCTGGTTTTTCTGGTGACGGTGAGCGATAGTTCTACTGCAGTTTATTTTGTAAGATGTTCAAACTGTCGTCTTAGGTGAAGACAGCAGTGTTCTCCACAGCTGCCTCATGCTGTAAAAGCCAGTGAACAAGAAGTTTCCTTAGACTCAGCCAGCAGACGTTGACGCATTCATGAGCTGAAAACGAAACCTCGAAGAAAAACGATAAACACAGAACATTTGGTCTTTAGTCCATTCTACCATCACAGAGTAAGTGGGTGAAGTTAAGTGTGCTTTGGAAGTAAACTTTAAATCTACAAACTAATTTTTTGTGATGAAACAAATTTGTGGCTCACTAGTAAAACCGAACCAGCAAAAACCAGACAGCAAATGTCAGAAACCCCTCGTTCAGTGTGAATGCGTTCATCTCCATGTCAGCTGATTTGCATGGGACCCTGTTGCACCAATCAACAGCACCGGTGTTTGAGCACCTGTCCAATCACTGTCAACGGCACCAATCCCTTCGCACCAGGAGATGTCGGGGTGCTCCTCCACCTTACACACCGATCACTGTTCATCACCGGGGCTTTTGCTACGACCCCCAAAAACAGAGCATGGGTTTATACCGCACTGTTGTGTCCGTGTCATCATCATCATCATCCATTTTTTAAATCCACCAATCCATCCGTCCTCGTGTCTCCTCACTCCTTCTCCCTCGTCTCCTGATCCCACCACGGGGGAACCTGTAATCTTTCATCTCTCCACAGCCCCAAAGTTCTGTTTGTGTGTTTGTGTGTTTAGTCAGCAGTGTGTGTCCAGTGTCTGTGGATCATTCTGGAGGAAGAGTTGGTGTGAAACAGCCGAGCCTGAGACAAACTCAACAAACATTCATCTTAAAACTGGAGTTTGAGTTAGTTTTGCTTTAGTTGTTCTTCTGTCTGATGCTGCAGGTAGATAATAAACTCAGAGGAAAAACAGCTGGAAGCAACAAACTGGACTTTAGCTCCTGTGAACATTTTGTCTAAACCCAGGTTATGCTACACAGTAAGATTCTATTTTTATGGACATTTCAGTTTGCATTTGTGCTAATAAAAAAAAAAAAAGCCATTACTCTTGAGTGCCTGTCCTGTAGGGTGAAGGCCTGCAGCTCAGACCCGTGCAGTGAAAGGGGCTTTAGAGTCCAGATAAGAGAGTTGTGGGTTTGTTTCCGGCTCTGCTGTCCTGTGTGTGTGTGTTCGTCCCACCAATCAGTCATCTGCATGGACACCGTTTGTCCCGACACACATTTGTGCAGACACACTGAGAAGAAGCCTCACGCTGTGCTGGAAAGAGTGCACAGTCAAAACTATTTGGTTTTCAAATCCAAAATCAAGGATTTAAAATTTAAAATATCTGCAGAATTTTCTGAATTTACAAATTTGAAAGCGCGTGTGTGACAGTCACACTGTCTCACCACCACTGCGTGAGGCTGCAGCACAAACACTCGAGTGTTTTTCTGGGTGACAAAATGATGCTCTGAAATGTTACTTCCTGTTCCTGTGCGTCTTGGCCCCGCCCACTGTGGCTTGGCCCCGCCTCTCGGATCGATGACTCGTGCGTCCGGCCGCTGCAGGGCCTTCAGGTCAGATTAACGGCGTCCAGATTCTCCTGCACGTCCCTCGGCAGCAGCACTGACTGAGTTTAACCTCACTCTCTGATCCACTGGGAACAAATCATTGCATCTTCTCCTTGTTTCTCCCTAATCACTGTCTCTCCTCTCTCACTTCTTCATGCACACTGATGGTAGTAAAAAGCACCTGTAACAAGTAAGCACCTTTTGTTAAACATCGTATGTCAAGTTCAATGATGAAAATAACAACACACACACCTGAGATTTTACTCCTGAATCTGGCACCATCAGCATGTTATGTGGAGCACATGTAGGAGCAGCCAAAGACCGATTAACATTCAGAGAGTGTCGTGTGGATAACATCAGAACACACCAGTAAACTAACTCACTTTAAACATTAAGTCATTCTCGTTAGTCTGTTTTTTCACTCTAATTCCAGTTCTCGTTGTTACTGAATGTACAGTTGTTTCTTGTATTCCAGTATTTAGTGCTTTATAACTCAAATGTGCTGTAGATTAAATGTTTAAGCGTCCAGCAGCACTTTATAAAACCCAGAATTTCCTCCCAGCTGACTGACAGAAGTCACTACTGATCCTCTGGTGTGGGAAAAAATAAAAACTCATAAATTGTTTGTTTTTTTTTTTAAAGCCAAAAAAGAAAAAAACCCCCAAAACAGACTCATGAAAGGAAAAATACTTAATTTATCCCAGAAGGGAAATTCAATAATGAATAAAATAAAAATAAATAATATAATAAAATATATATAATAAATATATTTAATAAAAAATAATATAATAAATAAAAAAATAAATAAAATAATAAAACATGCAGTTTGCTCCAACTTTTTAAGCTAAATCACTGCATTTAATAAAATATATATATATAAATATCTATACAGCACTTTTCAAGCTTGAGCACAAAATGCTTTTTTAATTTAAAAGATTTATAAAATTAAAAAAATAGTTAAACATTTTAAGTTTAGGAGCACGAGAGCATAAATGTCAAGTTAGGTTTACACATATTTGTATATAAATATAGTATATAAATACATTTTTCATTCAAATAACAGCAAATATCTGTTAAATGAACAACATTTGCTCATTTAAATACATAAAATATAGTGTAATTTACAGTCAGATGTTGTAAAAGAATAAATTACTGTTTAGTAAACAAGTGTTTTTAGGGTTAACATGTAAATATGCACTTTTTTTCCAGTTAACTTGAGAAATATATATAAAATATATAATAATTAAATAGTTCAAAGCTGTTCAACACATTTATTTCTTTTACAGTGCAGGTTCTTTATTGTTGGTTTTGGTCTTTTAATGAGATTAAATAAAAATAAAAAACCAGAGTCTTCCTTTAGGGGACTCTTGTGAATAGATTCTGATCCGTTGTGCAGCAGAACGTCCTGATCGCTGAATTAAAAGCATCTTGTGCAGATTGTCCAGAAGCTGGTTTGGTTAAAACCTTCACAGCTGCTTCAGGACTGAAATGCCTCTTTCATTGTTGTTCTGACTGTGTTTCTTGCCTCTGTCTAAACCTGCTCTCCTTTGTTTTTTTCACCCCGTGCATCAACCCGGCTGCGCTTTGCCTGGGAATTCTGGGAATCGTAGGTCCTCCAGGTTAGACCAAGTGGTTTGATGGTTGTGATGCTGTGAGCTGGGGTTTGTGGAGGGTGGTGGGGGGGGGGTTTCATCTGTCAAACTGAAATCTGTAAAACTCTCGATAATGTGCGATGAAGCGTTCTCGTGGTTTGAAGGTGTTGAAGGTGTTATTCATGAGGTGTGTCGGATCGTTCTCTGAGCGTTAAAAACGGATGTCAGCAGGTGTGCTTTGACCTTTTCTTCACCCAACAGGACGAGCTGGACGTCTGTAGCAGGACTCATGTGTTCTAAAGTGTCACACACCGTTTTACAGGAACCTGAGGAGCTTCGTTCCCGTGTTCTGGCTCTGATGAACACAGATTGTGTCCTTCTCTTTCTAGCTGGTGTTTAGAAACAAACATTCTCGTTGTTTGACATCTAATGAACGAGTTTGTTCAACTTCAGATCTGCCTTTAGACAAAAAAACGGACAAAATCACGTGTAAAATGTGAACTAACACGTCTCATTACAGTAAGATTTTTTAAGCCAGCTATGTCAGATTTGGGAATGAAGCTCTTCAGTATTAAAGCGTACATTACTGCTATCTAGACTTTAATAGTTGGACAGACTACAGCAGGGTCTGGAGATGTTCACACTGTAATCTGCTTCCTGTTCTTTGTGGCTGCGCTGTACCAAGTTGGGCTCAGTTCAGTTTCCTTTTTTTGAACAAGACAACAGGATCTCTGCTTCGTTCTCGCTGTTAGCTGGAACTCAAACTGACCCCAACAAGCCTACACGTGCAGCCTCGCCGTGCTCTCTCTCTGCTATAACTGACCTTTCCACCCCTGCGTCCGTCCTGAAGGTCCATCCGGCCCACAGGGTCCCCGCGGACCCCCGGGAAGTGGCGGCGTTAAGGGAGAGAAGGGTATCCCCGGCGCTCCCGGCCAGCCCGGCTTCCCCGGACAGAAGGGAGAAGGCGGCGTTCCAGGATTCCCGGTAAGATCTTATTAAATCCCGTAATGTGCTCTCTGCTTTCCTTTAAAGTGATCGTACGTTGAGATGTGACTGTTCCTTCCTGTCAGGGTTCCTCTGGTCTTCCTGGTGCCTCTGGCCTGAAGGGAGACGTCGGTCTGCCTGGCGTTCCCGGATTCCCTGGTGGGTTCACAGTGACGCCGTTTTGTGCTGCTTTATTCCATCCAAATGTGCGTTTCGGTGTTAATCGTTGATCGTGAGCAAAACCCAAACAGCTGTTCTGTCTGTGTTTTTTTTCCAGGACCAAAGGGAGACCCGGGACTTCCCGGTCGCGGCGGCCTTCCTGGAGATCCTGGAGATGTAGGACCGACTGGTGGGTGGACTCGCTGACCGCCTCACAGCCGAGCAACACGCCAAGAAGTTCAGTTTAAATGTGGACTGCAGGCAGGATTGCTAACAGATGATTTCCTGTGTCACCAGGTCCTCCTGGAGATCCCGGCGTTCCTCCGGCTCCCATCGTGGTGAAGGGAGAGCGAGGACCTACTGGTGCTCCGGGCCAGCCTGGTAACCGAGGATCGCCTGGTGCTCCTGGACGTGAAGGACTCCCAGGTGGGTGACTCTATGGGATGTGAAGGAGGTCAGAGGAGGGCTGCATGAGCTCCAGCTGAGATGTGAACATTTGTTTGTCGTGACAGTTAATAAACTGCTAAGTTTGTCAGAGGGGACACTGCACAGGTCTCAGGAAAGAATATTTTACATTCAATACTGTTTAAGCTGTCTTTGAGGATGCTTTATGGCCTGTTTCTGTGGAATAATATGGAGAAAATACCCCATAACAGGATAACTGTGTTTTATTATCAGCAGGAGAAGCAACAAAATTCAGGGTTCAGCTTGAGTTTCATAATTCTGGATTTAACCAAAAAAAAAGAGAAAAATCAACAAAACTAGTGTAAAGCTGGTCGTTATGATCACATATGTTCCTCTACGACCTCTGTGTGCTCGAATGAAGCTTCTCGCTCTGTTAACTTGGTGATGAACGTCTCGTTGGTAAATCAAGCTGACGAGGAGGCTTCATCACGGACACCAAGTCTGAAGATCGTCGACACTCACCAGGAAGTTGAGCAACAGATTACATAGAGGAGTGTCGTAATCAAAGCAGTGAAACTCTGAACCTGCAGATGCTACTCGTTTGTGAAGACAAGCCTTGTGTGTGGTAATTGTTGGTGCTGGAGGCTCGCTTGTGTTCAACCAGAACTCTTGTGTGTCGCTGCTCCCAGGTCAGCCCGGTAACCCTGGAGATCCTGGTACTGAGGGTCCTCCTGGCTTCAGCGGACCCCCCGGCAGGAAGGGAGACCCGGGACCAGCCGGTCAGCCCGGTGAGTAGAGCCGCCTCAGCTAGAATGTGCACCGTCAGTCCACTGAACGACTAAACGGTGGAAAGTTAAACATTATTTCATCCGTGTGCCGGTGGACCGTTGTGTTCGCTCCACTGCCCAGATGTTGTAAACCAGCAAAGTGAAACATCTGGTCAAATCAGCTGGAGGTGTTTTATCTAGAAAATGAAGTAAATTAAATGGTTCCTTGTAAATGGATCCTTCAGGGTTCCAGAGACGATCACAATGTAGAAAATAGACACATTTAGCAGCTCGTTTAAGGCGGGATACAGGAGATGTTAACATCCATAATGAATAAAACTCTCCAGTCCAACACGGACACCATCCATCAAACCTTCTGCTCATGTTGGTGCACAGCAGAAATCTTCATCCAGTTTTTTTCAGAGCATCTTGTGATCTCTGTGATCTTTGTTGACATACGTCCTTTCCCCGGCTGCCTCCAGGTCAGCGAGGCTACCCTGGTCCTCCTGGTTCCGACGGTCCACAGGGTCCTCCCGGTCTCCCGGGATCGGTCTCCGCGGCCCACGGCTTCCTCATCACCCGACACAGCCAGTCGACGGAGGTGCCCAGCTGTCCTGAGGGAACGAACCCCATCTATGACGGATACTCTCTGCTGTACGTGCAGGGCAACGAGCGGGCCCACGGACAGGACCTCGGTATGGAGCGCATCGCTTTACTGAACCGAGCTAAAGGTTTTAGCGACCGCAGCACTTGTCATGACCGAGCTTCCTCCCTCCTGCAGGCACGGCCGGCAGCTGTCTGCGCAGGTTCAGCCCGATGCCCTTCATGTTCTGCAACATCAACAACGTCTGCAACTTCGCCTCCCGCAACGACTACTCCTACTGGCTGTCCACGCCCGAGCCCATGCCCATGTCCATGGCCCCCATCACCGGACAGAGCATCAAGCCCTACATCAGCAGGTAGGCGGGGCCGAGGAAGGGCAGGAGCAGCGGGGAGCTGATGGAGGTGGTCTTTAACTCCTGTTTGTGTGTCGTCCAGGTGTGCAGTGTGTGAAGCTCCAGCCATGGTGATCGCAGTCCACAGTCAGACCATCCAGATTCCCACTTGCCCCTCCAACTGGGAACCGATGTGGATTGGATACTCCTTCATGATGGTACATGCATGTTTGTCTGCACAGCAGCAACCAACTCCGTCTTTGATCCCAGCTTTAGCCTGAACTACTCTTGCCTGTCCTCCCCAGCACACCAGCGCCGGCGCCGAGGGCTCCGGTCAGGCTCTGGCCTCCCCCGGTTCCTGCCTGGAGGAGTTCCGCAGCGCTCCCTTCATAGAGTGCCACGGCAGAGGGACGTGCAACTACTACGGCAACTCCTACAGCTTCTGGCTAGCCACCGTGGAGCAATCTGAGATGTTCAGGTACGCATACAGGAGGTTGAGCTGCAGCCACATGACGCTTTCCATCTTTTCCCATCGTTCAGGAACCAGTTTATCCTGGTTACGGGCTGCCCTGAGCTTTGTACAGAGTTCCAGCCCTTTGTTCAGCTGTCTGGCCCTTTATTTCACCCTCACTGCACTGTTCTGGCTGCTAAAGGAGAGTAAACACTGGACCACATTATCCAGGTTGACACTCCAGATGACCGATAATCGGCCATTTTCCACTGCAGGACTGTTTTAGGTCAGTCTGAGCAGCAAGAACCGTCCCAGCAGAACCTCTCAGACCCGTTCTCAGCCCAGAGTTGGTACTTTTGAGCAGCTATGAACTAGGAGAGGACAACTAGATGCATGTTTTAGCAGTCTTGTCCTCTCTTACATCAACATAAAACCCCTCTGTCGCTGCGTTTTCTACGTCTTCATAGAACTGGAGTGTCGTCCAGTCGCCTCTGTTTGTCGTTGTTTTGTTGCAGTGGGGACGTGGAGGTTAAAAGGGCGGATTACAAGTCTGCTCCTGCAAACGCTCGCAGTCCTCGCAGTGGAAACCTGCTTGTTGTCGCTCTGCAGCAGCTGTTTTGGTGTCAGTCTGTGCAAACGTTCTGCCTCCGAGTGGCCAAAAACACAACTGGTTGCCCATTTGGGATAAAAAAACAAAGTTTTATCTTGAAAAAAAGTAGCTTTCAGTAGGCTGTATTTATAATAGTGGACATTACGTCTGTCTTAACCACACTTCCCCTTTGGCCCCTACAGGAGGCCCCAGTCGGAGACCTTCAAGGCGGGTAACCTCCGGGCTCGTGTCAGCCGCTGTGTGGTCTGCATGAAGAGGACGTAACGGCAGCAAGCCAACCCACCGTCGCCGGGGGACGCCCGATCGATAACAAGAGATGATTGGATAACGGGGGACAAGTTGGGGGAGGGGAGGGTGGGCAGTCGTCGTCGTCGTCGTGACCGCTGACGTGGCGACGAAGGTGGAATTCCCATGGTGCATTGTCTTCCGTGAAAAAAACAGAAAAACTAACTACGACTAAAACAATGGTGCTACTGTGCAACACAGCTTAAAAAAAAAAAAAGAAAAAAAGAAAAAAGTAAACAAATCTTACATTTAGTCTTTGTTTTCTTAAGAAGTACCTCAAAATGAAAGCAGAAAAATATCCACTACATGGTGCCATGATGGATGTGTGACAACAAAAGTGCATTTTTCATTCTTCTCCCTTCTTTCCTGAAAGGATCTTTGTTGCCTTTCTCTCTTTAGAAAAAAAAAAAAAAAACGTTGGTGCAGCAAAATGTGATTCTGTACATCCGATTTTTTTTTTTTTTGTTTATCTTTGTTTTGTTTTGGGCCTTACTGATGAGGAGTGGATGGTCTCCACGGTTACCAAATCGGCACTTTGACTTCGGAACATCCAAGATGAGAGATGCACTGACGATGAGCTTTCCTTAGTGAGACTTACTGCCTTTTTTATTGCTAGCTCTTCATTCACACGCCCTTTCCCTCTCTCTCGCTGTCTTTTTTCTGTCGTCTTACGTGACGTTTGGTGGTACTAACCCTGCTGTAGCCCGCCTGCTAACCATCCGCTACACCTACTTTCTCCTATTTTTTTTTTCTTTTGTAAGTAATAAAATGTGTATATTGTGTAAAACACCTTTTGTTTTTAGTGTATTAGGTCTTGAATCAGTACCAGCTGTTTGTTACGACAGTTTTCCAGGTTTTCTTTTTAGCTCACACACTCACGCATTCACACACACAAACACACACACACACATTTACTTCATCGCTCACCGACACACACCAACTCAGATATTGTACAAAGTAAGGCTTTTATGAATGAAACAGTATTTTATATATAATAAATATATATTTGAAAAAAAGAGGATAAAAAGGTATATAAACTTTATTCGGCTGTGGGGAGATTGTTCACTGTTTTCAACCACGAAACCTTCATGAATTTCACCGACACATAAAGCTAACTCCTGAGCACGAGCGGAGTCGTTTTCCCTCAGACAGTCCTGTATGATATTAACAGAGCCAATAAATCGTTTGTATTCAATTTGTAGAGTTAATAAATGTCGAGCTGAAGCATGGGGGAGTCGTAGTCTAATAATTGGGGAATGTTATAAATATTTGTGCAAAAAAAAAAAGAAAAAAGGATTTGAATCTACTTGAGTAGAAAACCACGATACGTGTTCTTTGTTTTTTAACATTTCCAGGTGCTGGGCTTTGCTGTAAAAACAGGTCCTGGGGTTTTTGGGGGGCCGCCTTCGCACCCAAAACCTGCAAATCCACTTTCGCTGGCTTGAATTTGTATCCAAAACCGGTTCGAGTGTTCACACTTGGCCCCGTTTGTACGTTTAAATCAGGTGTACCGGTCCCCGATGTGACGCTTCTCACACCAGGCGCTCAGACTCCTGATGTACTGTAAGTCTGCAAGAGCTGTTTTTAGGGGGGAAGAAATATTTTCCTGTGATTTTATTGTTATTTTTATTTTTTCAAAACTGCTTTTATGAATTCTAATTTTGTCAACCTGGGGTGCGATTAAAAATGTGTATTAATTTGTTTGTTGTTTTTTTTTTTTTTTTTTTTTTTTTTTTTGTTTTAATGTCATGTTATATCCAGAAGTTGTTATAAACTTTTAAGACTGAAATAAATACGATGTCCAAAGTGTTGTCTTCGNAGACAACCAAGCACACTCACATTCACACCTACGGACAATTTACAATCACCAATTAACCTCAACATGTTTCTGGACTGTGGGAGGAAGCCGGAGAATCTGGAGAGAACTCACGCTGCACGGGGAGAACATGCAAACAGGTCTGCAGCAGCTGGGAGTAAAATCTCAGAACCAGAGGTTTCTAATCATAACGATGACTAATGAGTGATGTTAAGGCGCGTTTAATCTAAAACACATGCGTCTATCCACCAGCTGGAGTCCAGAGAAGCCAATAAATCTGATGAGAGTGTGTTTTCAACAGAAGCAGCCTCAGACATCACTGAACAACAGTCAGCATGTCACAGATCGATTCCTAAACACAGAGAGAGCCACAAGGAGGCAGTTTAGTTGATGTTGTGTAGATCCTTTTCCTGGATTTAATGAGTATTTCTGTTCCTCATCGACAGCGTCTGGGCCTGTGATCACAACAAGTTTAATTTAAGGAAGTTTTTAGATAATAGTTTAATCATGTTTTTTTTATTATTATTATTATTCAGGAGTTTTGCTGGAGTCAAATGAGTTTCTGCAGAACTTGGCAGCACATGAGTCGGCTCAGACACAGTGAATCCCAACAACATGGATTTGAAAGACAGTAATCATTTGTGAAAAGCTGTCGGTGACTCTGTCCAAAGCAGAGGCTGTTGGGCTTCCACAAGTCGACTCACCATGGTCTGAAACGAAACATCTGCTCTTGTCATAATGCGATGAAGAAGATGTTCTGTCGCACAGACCAGCAGCCTGTCTGTCATCTCTGCACAGTGGATGGACACAGAGGCCATGAAACAGTCTCACTGGAAGCAGAAAGTATGAACAGGCAGAAAAGAGTCAAGGAGAGTCTGCAAAGAGTCCAGCATAGAATCCAGAGCAGAGAGCAGGAGGTGGGAGTGCTGGAGCAGGAGGCAGAGGCCATCAGACAGTCTGCTGATGAAACAATGAGGGACAGCGAGACAGTCATCACGGAGCTGCTCGGCTTCATCAAGGCAAAGGGCTCCAGTCTGAAGCAGCAGATCAGATCCCAGAAGACGACTGAAGTGAGTCGAGTCAAAGAGCAGCAGAAGAAGCTGAAGCAGGAGATCGCTGAGCTGAAGAGGAAAGACGCTGAGCTGAAGCAGCTCTTGAACATAGAGGACCACACAGAACTTATACTCAGTCACTCCCTACAGTCTGAACTCAGTGGGCCAGCAGCTTCCCCGGTCATCAGAACCAGCCAGAACAGGTACTTTGAGGACGTGCAGACAGCGGTGTCAGAGGCCAGGGATCGGCTCAAGGAAACCACGGGTGAGGAATGGAGCAAGATCTCAGCGACACTGAGATCAGTGGACGTTCTGCTGCAGCGAGCAGAGCCGTCCAGCAGAGACGAGCTGCTCAAATATTCACATCCCCTCACGCTGGACCCAAACACAGCACACGCTAACCTCCATCTGTCTAATCAGGGCAGAACCGTAACAGATAGTTTATCAGGTATATTTTCTAACAACTCAGGCAGGTACAGCTCCTGTCATCAGGTCCTGAGTAAAGACAGCGTGACTAAACCTCTTTACTGGGAAGTGGAGTGGACAGGAAGTGGCATCATCGTAGCAGTGACATACAAGAACAGAGACAGACTGGATCAAGGAGGATTCGGGGCGACTGCTGATTCTTGGGCCTTAAATTGTTACGGAGGCGGCTATGAGTTCAGACACAACAATGTCGTGACTCCTGTATTCAGCCCGGGTTCGTCCTCCACAGTGGGAGTGTTTGTGGATCCCAGAGCAGGCGTCCTGTCTTTCTACAGCGTCTCTGAAACGGCGACTCTTCTCTACAGAGTCCAGACCGCATTCACTCGGCCGCTCTATGTGGGGATTATGGTTTGGGGGAGTTTTTTTGGAAGTACAACAGCGACTATAAAGTAAATCAGGTTTAATGAAGAGGCGTCTGGTGAGCCGTGACCTGCTGTCAGTAGAACTGGTTTAGTGCTGCTGACGTCTGCTCTGACGTGCTGCTGGTGGGAGGTCTGAGCCGGGGGGCGTTCCTTTTCATGTCAACCTGTGCATCTATGAACACGTATCCATGAAATGCTATTTGTGCTCCTCTAAAGGTGTATCATTGCTGTAATGTTTTGTGTTCCACTGTGTGACACGTTGAAGGAGTTTGTCAGATGTTTTATTTGCTAGTTTAACTTTAGATTTTGAATCAGACTGTAAAGATGTGAACACAGTGCATTAAATAAAGTTGGCTAATTTTGAAAACAACATTGTGTTCGTTGCTGTGAAGCTGCTCAGGTGTGTCTGATGCAGAAGTGAGACACAGAGCAGCTGACTTCAGCAGGTGTTGAGCTAAACGTCTAACGATTACAGTGCACTTCATTAGGAACACCTGCTTGTTTAATTATCCGCTCATTCAATCAGCTGTGCAATGTACACAATACACAGCTTCGGTTTCTGCCCACATGTGGATGAAACAGGTCAGCGGACAACAAAGCAGCTGCTTGGATCTGACTATAGACGAACTCAGGTAAACGCTCTGAGAGCAGAAAGTGTGTCAGAGAAATCTTCAAAGTGCAATTTGGAAACCAAGACACTCAAACTTTTTATTTAATACACACATGACAGCGAGTCCAGTGGTTATTTATGTCTTTAAAGTGCAGCTTTGTGTTATTATTATTACATATGGTCTTTCAACTGTGCTATCATGCAAAATTATATTTCTTAGTTCTCTACGCGTCTTTGCGATGACAGTTGGAAATGAAAATTAATGAAAATTAACCCCTCAGATGTTTTTCATTGAAAAAATATTCCACACTTCCAAATATTTTCAATGATTTTAAAAACAATGCAGTCTTAAGGCTTCTATAAATGAAACAGTACTTTATATTTAATTCATATAGATTTTAACAAAAGATCATAAAATGTGTGTATGTTTTATTTGGTTGTGAGGAGATTTTCAGCCACAGAGTGTTTATAAATTTCATCCTGATATTACTTCACAATGTGTTCACCTGATAGCTTGTAGCAACCATTAGCTAGGTAGCTAACGGTTAGCTTAAAAGAGGCAATAGTTATGTTGCACATCAAATTTAACTCTCAAAATATGGCAAGTTAACTTTTCACCAGTTAAATATCTATTCCTATTCCCCGTTGTTTGATTTAGGCATTTCTTTAATCAAAACATTGAAAACGTTTGTGACTGTCATCCTGCTGTTACGTTTTCACCTGATAGCTAGTAGCAATCGTTAGCATGCTAACTGTTAGCTTAAACGAGGGATTAGTTATTTTGATGTATCAAATTCAAGTCTTAAAATATCTTAAATTAACTTGTCATCAGATAAATGTGGATTCCTTAATCCCAGTTGTTTGGTTAGAGCATTTCTTTTATTAAAATGTTAACAACCAGTGTTAAATTTGGGTGTTTTTCACAGTTTGAACTTCCTGGAGCGCTGCTAGCTACAAAAAGGCAGCAGCAGCAGAGACGCATCTTACAAGCAGGTATGTAGCTTTTATCCAGATAAAAGATTTTTTAAAAATATTCCAAGAGTTATATCTGTCTCTGTGGAACATTTTAAAATAGGCTGCTGGTTTAACTACGAATTAAAAAGCCAGCTAATCAGCTCACAGCCCAGGCTAGCTAGTTAGCTGAGTCGCTAGTTTCTGCTAACGCTATAGGAAACATCTTTATGACAGAAGCAGGAGGACAAAAAAAAAGGTTTATGCTGTATTGTGTTGCTAATATCTGTAATTTAAGAAAAAAAAAGAACATTTCAGGTATCCACTGTGAGAAACGACACTTAAATTATTAGTATATGTAGTTTCCTATTACTGTTCTTAACAATTCAGCTATCCTCATCTGAATTATGACTAATTGTAGTCAGCTATCTTTATATTCAGAGCCGGCCCTAGGCATAGGCAGTACAGGCAAATGCTAAGGGCGCCGACATCCACGGGGGGCGCCACAAGCTTGCCAGGCTAACTGACATGTATTCAGGCAAGTATTTATCAACAAGCGCTGATGCAGTTTGTCTACCTTTAGCAGTAAAGACGTTACGTTAGCGTCTTAGCTGCTAACGTTAGCAGCAAAGACGTTAGCAGCAAAGACGTTAGCAGCAAAGACGTTACGTTAGCGTCTTAGCTGCTAACGTTAGCAGCAAAGACGTTAGCAGCTAAGACGTTACGTTAGCGTCTTAGCTGCTAACGTTAGCAGCTAAGACGTTAGCGAACCGTCTTCGCTAATGTCTGAAGACTGTCCTTAAATATTTGCCTGAATACACATCAGTTAGCCAGGGAGTGTCACAAAGACTTGTTTCTTCAGTTTCATTTAGTGTGTTGTTTATACTTAAATAAAGCTTGAATACATGCATACAGTTTATGTTACTGTATGAACATTAGGAGTGAAATTCACTGTGATGCTAGAGGGTAAAACTACAATCTTGCCTGGGGCACTAAATTGGTCAGGGCCGGCCCTGTTTATATTTATAACTACGTTGTCCTTTTTAGATATCTTAAATTAAGTTTAAACTTGATGTTTAGGAAGCTCAAACTGGAATTCTGCTCAGTCAAAATGTGAAAATAGTGTGTTTACGACAGTCCAGACCAGCCAACAGGAAAACCTGGACGTCAGCTGAATAACACAGAGATCAGAAAACAAGACGTACATGATGCATGAAAAATACATTAAACATCCCTAAAAGTGAACAAATGTGAACTCATTGAACTGACGTATATTTTCAGTCTTTAACACTGCATTCATTTATTTCCCTCGTCACTGATTACTTTCCATAATCATTCATTTCTCTGGATATTTAACCGTTGTCATTTTGGATATGTGTCAATGTTGAATTGTCCAGACTGGTTCTGAAGGATGGGAGCTGCTGGGATGAACCCACGTCAACCCGGGCAGACCTTCATGGAGATGGTGAGTCCCTCCATCGCATCGTTTGTTGGTCAGAAAGACCCCAAAAATGACCTCCACTCATCCAGACACTTAATTATTAATGAGAAATCACTGTTGTGAAGCTCTACAGTCTCTCTTTTGAATCTTCTGTCCAGAAGAATTTGATCTGAATGAAAATTCATCAGCAAAAAGTCAGTCAAAGATTCATATTTAGACTTTTTTATGTGTTCAAAGTGTTGATTCAAGCTGAGCCCACTTCACTGCCACACAGATGGATTCAGTTACAGACGAGATGATTCTGAGACAGATTCTAACCGGTGTCTCGACCGCTCAAGGCTTCTTTGACTTCTTAATATTTATACGCTTTATTTTAATTATATCACAGACCTTCCCCTCTGCATCATTTTTAATAAATTTAAAGGAACACGTGCTTTTTTAAAAAAAAATCTACAAACAGGAGAGAATCTTGTAGTTTTTAGGTGTTTGTGAATGAACGTAGAGTCACTGACACACACAGTCGTCCTCTAATGTGTTCCTATCCTCCCATCAACGAAGGAAAACAACAGCTTCAGTCACTGGAATAAGTTGAAATTAACAAAAGTAATAATAAATAAACATTAAATGAAAATCAGGACATTGGTTTTGAATTGTGGTTCAACAGAAATATAAAAAAAATTTAAAAAACAAGCTCTGATACTGGCCCCCTGCTCATCAGCAAAGTGCTCAACAGTTTTGTTTTTTTAATTTTTCTTTTCAACCACAATTCAAAAGCAACGTCTTATTTCACTAAACTATAATTTAGCAAATTTTTATTTATTATTACTTTCTTCAGTTTGTAGTTATTTGAGTGACTGTTGTGAGTTTTGTCTTTTCTTTAATAGAATAGATTTGGCTGTAACGTGAGCGCTCAGTTCCCAGATGTGACCAGCAGGTGGCAGCATCACCCCACACACACACACACACACACACACACACACACACACACACACACAGAGACAGACAGCAGTCAGCTCTTCTCAGCGTGTTGCTTCATGTCGAGTTCAGTGGAGGAGTCTTGCTCAGGACGAGGTGTGCAAACGGTGCCACTGAAGCAGGCCTGCTATTGGCTGATGGGGTGCATGAAGAAGGGCATTGTGGGTAGACGTTAGAAGACAAACAGCAACTCAAGAGAAAAGCAGCTCACCAGAAAGCCCTGATGAAGCTGTGATGATGGAACACAGTGAAGGAGCACGCACAGGAATAAATCACATGGGGTCAGTTCTACATGTTCATGCTAAAGCTACAGGTTATAAGAATAAAAAACCAAAAAACTACACGATTAAAAACGTCCTTAAAACGAGACACGACAGCAGCAACACGTCAGAAACTGTAAAAACAAAGTTCTGTGAGACATCAGACGAGAAATTCAAAATGAAAAAACAGTCAAAACAGACGGTCACCGGTCCAGGGTTGTGTTTTCATGACTTTGCAGAAAACCAAAGAAGAAATGACATGATGATTTAAAAAAAAAAAAAAAAGTAGATTGTCGCACAACTATGACCCAAAAAAATCTGTTTAGTACAAAATCTATTGAGAAGGAAACAAACTGCTTCAAGAATTCTTTGATGAACACAGTCGAGGAGTGAGGAAGTCACATTAAATCACATTAAATCACATTAAATCACGGCTGGTCGTTCATTTCTCTGACAACAGTAGACCCACTCCAAATGTCCAGACCATGAAGGAGCATCAGTCATCTGGATGGTTTCTGTCTTTTCTCTGCACGTGGAAGCTGCTGCGTCCATGATGTCTCCTTCATAAGCCATCTGAGGCTTCGGGCTTTTCTCACTAATCTCCTCCTGAGCTCCGGAGATGAGCGGATCGGTGCCGAGGTGGTCGTCGTGGCTCGGCTCTCTAAGCTGTTTACGCCGACTTTTGTCTGCCGGCTCTCAGAGAGTCGTGCTGATCTTTTGTCCGTTTCCTCGGCTTCCGCTCTGCGCGCAAAGGTAAACCCGGGACGTCCAATCACACGCAGAACCGGCCGGGAGGCTTCCTCGTTCAGCAGCGGGGTCCGAAGGTCCAACAGCACCAGAACTAGAGCAGCAGACACTCTGGTGTGTTTTTATGCACCGGTTTGTGGGTTTTCTGCATCAAGACGCACAAATGTCTGTATTTATTGGAAGGAAACACTCCCACTTCCACCACTGAATGAACTTTAAATAAATCTAATTTAGATTCAGATCAACCTTCTCCGGTGTGAACATTCAGCTGATCGGATGTGTCGGTTTAATGATGTTGGTAAAAGTAACGTCTTCATTTTTCTTCACCTTGAGTTGAGGGTTTTAGCTCCGTTCTGACCCGGCTGTCTTACCAACACCAGTGAACT